GGAGAGAAGTAGCCGCTGAACATGGTTCTCATATGTCTGTATTCCTTATCCTCTGCTCACTGCTTGGAAGAGTTACAAAAAATGCCAATATTAAGAAATTCTGTACTTTTGATTTGTATACTTTGAAGAGTTCCTGAAGAGTTGAGGCCTAGCAATAATGGAATGGGGGAAGAGAAGGCAAGAAAAGGTGAAGGTTTCCCATCTTGTAAATGTGTTCAGGTCATTCATTCATTGTATTCTCTTAGTACAATTTATATTGCTGGGGAGGTGGTACATAGGTCTAAAGTTTAATAGAAATATTTCACATTAATGACCATTTGTTCCTCTCAGGTTTTCTATTCAGAATGGTTTGCCATTGTGACTTTCTATTTGCTAATTTCTGCTACCATTAATTGAATGTTTGCCTAATATCTACAGGTAAAAGTTAGCAAGGTGGGACTCTGAACATGCTTGTGGTTCCTAAAGTAAGGAGTACTGACATCCCCTAGCTTGGCCAATAGACTCCTTAGTAGAACCTACACTTGTGTGTGGCATGATCTGTTTGGCACCCAGCAACAAGATAAGGATGCTCCTCAACACTTCTTTCTTTAGATTAATTATTTTTATTTTTTATGATTTTTACATATTTAATTAGTGTGATTATGGTCAAGGGCTAGAGGAAGGTGGGTGAAAATCACCATTTTCACATTCTGTTTTTATCCTTCCTGTATCTGGGGGAAGGGAGGACATAAGGGGAGAAGCCACACTCAGCCTTCCAAATGCCTCTACACCTGGGATGCAGGACAGCCACCTGACATGAGACCAGGGTACCAGATGTGGGGCATGCTCTGAGGGTCCTGCTCATGAGGTTTCAATAGTTCCACAGTTTTGAATTATTACTGATCTTGCCACTCCCAGCACGATGAAATCTCTCCAGAATATACTGGTTGATATAGTCCACTTTAGAGTCTCCATTTGCCGAGTTATTCACTGCCAACATTTTGCTGGGGTAGTTGATAAACTTGTTCTGTCCTCCGACCTTTGTTATGACACCATGTGTCCTCTGCAGACTTCAATGTATTGCCATGTCCTCAATGTGTACCTGGATATGCTGTCCACTGCTCCATCTAAGCCACTGAGCAGGCACAGCTCTGACTCATGCACTCCACGGTCACACTATGGAACTTGCAATTCTTTCCATGGTTGGGCTTCTGAGTCCATCAGTTCCATTGGGAGATCACCAAATAAACTTCATTTAAGGTGTTCCCAGATCTGACTCGTGTGTGCTTGGCAATACAGGATCTGGCACAGTCTGTCGCCCCAGTCAGCTTTTGCACATGGTGGTGGTTACAATTACTGGGTCAGTTCTGTCCCCAGTCCTGTCTTCTACACAAATCAATGAATGTTGGATTTTAGCCCGATTCTACCCACCAAACACTCAGCCTTCAGGTACACTAGTGGGAGCTACAGCCTAGTTGGAGAGACTCACACCAAGCCTGCCACCTGCATTGATTTCAGTGCATGCCACTATGTACAGCAGACTGGTACAGTGTGTCCCACATCTCATTTAGCTCTCGTACTTGTCAATGGGCTGTCTAGCCTAGTTCAACCTAACCAGCCCAGCGATCCAGCCCACACATATGCCAGTGGACACCACTCTGTATAGCATGCCTTCCCTTCCTGGTTCAAATGCTCACTAGTGGGAGTGGCAACCCAGGAGGGAGGTGTCCTCTGTTTCCCTAATGGGTCTACTCCCAGTCTCAGATCCTGCACTCTCCTGGTGGTTCTGCAGTTTAAATTGACAGAATTTCCCCCTCCCCCCATGCTAGAATCTTCCAGTTGATGCTGTGCAAAGTCCATCCAACCCATGCTGACTCTGACTTGTACATGAACCAGTAGGAACAATCAACTTTCAACAATAGTCAACAGCCTGGCTTGCCCCTGATCCAGCCCACATAAAGCCAACAGGTGTTGTAGCCCTGCCTAGTCTCGTCTGCCCCATCCCAACTCATGCTTTACGGAGGGAGTAGTGGTCCAGCAGGGGAGCTTTCCACAGTCCCCTACCAGCTTTGCCTCCTTCCCACTGGTTTTCATGTGTGCTACTTGGGTGTTGCAGCCCAGTCTGGCGTTGTCTGCCTCTTCTCGGCCTTTGCCAATGGGTGCTGCAGCCTGGGTAGGCCCATCTCACCCCCAATTCCAACTCACATTGGTGGGTACCTAGCCCAGCCATCCAGTCCTCAGTCTTTGTCTTCATGTGAACTAGGTTGTGTTGTGACCCACCTGACCTGACCCACACTGCATTCTGGCACTCAGATTTGCCAGTGGGTGAAATGAACTGGCCCATCCTGGATTGTCCCCGATCTGCACCTGATGTAAGCCAGTTGGTACTATTCCTTGGCCTGGTCCAGGCTGCTCCTTATCATGGTTCTTGTGCTTACCTGCAGGGACTGTGTCCTGACAGAGGAGTTGCCCAAGTTCCTCTATTAGAATCTTTCCAATACCAGAGCTCCTGCCCACTGGTGAATTCATGGGCCAGCCCTACTTAGTCCACCTCCTGTCCCAGCAGGAATAGTGACCTTTCCTGACTGGCCTCCAGCCAGTTTCAGTTTTATTGTTGGGTGTTACAGCCCAGCCACACCTGGTTCAAACCCAGGCACAGCTCACACATTGTTCCGCAGGGGCAGAGACCTAGCCTAGCCCATTCCTATACCTACCCTGGTTCTCATAAGCACTAGTAGGTGTTGGAGTCTAGCCCAGTCAGGTGCACCCCAGACAGAGTCCACACTTTTGCCGGGGGATATGGCAGCCATGCCCAGACTAGACAGCAGTCCTCACTCCAGCCTTCACACTCACCAGTGAGAACCATACCCAGCAAGGGTGACTCTGTAACTCCCCAATTAGGCCTCTTCCCAGCCATAGATCTTGAGAGTGACAATGGTTGCTCTAATCCAGCTTGGCATAGCCCCTCACCTGTCTTGGTCTTTGCCTTTGGATGCTGTAACCTGGCTTGACCCCAGTCTTGACTTTCATTGGCAGGGTGCTGGAACCTGGTGCTACTCAGTCTGCCCCAATCCCTGGCTCATGCAAATTGGTAGGTGTGCTATATATACAATGTTAGTATCAGGAGCTATGTAAATCAATGTGTACCTAGATCTGGTTTTTGTCACCATGAAAACAAAACAAAACAAAACAAACCAACAAAACCCCCGAAGAGCCCCTTTAGAAGTATACAGGCTGCTTGCTTCTGCCCAGAAAATATGTTTCACAAAGTATGATCCCATGCTTCTCATTTTCTGGTTTGATCATGATGATACAACCAAGTTACCCATCGAATTCTTCTGATAGCATTTTGTTTTATCAAAAGAAGATTACACATATTTATGTTTTAATTTATATTATCATCATAAGTTTAATCATTCATTAAATGAATAATTCGGTGAATAACATGTAAAAAAAGAAAAAAAAACCCAAAACAAAAACACCTGTTCACCAATAATACAGACAGGGCTATAAACAATATCAATGATATAACCTAAAAATATTCATGACAAAATTATTTTTGTCTGTTTTTAATTTTTCGATTTTTATTTTATTGTTATACAAGCTCTGGAATTTCCCTTACACTTCCCGTAATCTCCCCCACATACTGATTTTCCTTAGATTATTACAACAGTATAGTGTTTTGTAGATAGTCTTAAGTACAACATTCTGCTATTTAAGTGTATCCTGATATTATAGATATGGACAATTTTACAGAGTCCAGTATCTTATTATAAAAATATATTTGACAGTTTCATTGATAGTCCATATTTGATTTGGAAGTAGAGAGCCATACTGCATTGTTTCTTCATATCTCAACATGATGTGTTCTCAAATTAATAAAATTAATGGTATTAGATCTTAGTGACAAAATTTAGTTGGAAATATTTTGTCCTGAAGAAAATCAGGCAACTAAGCCATTTGGAAATCTGCCATGAGGGATAAGAAAGCCCACAGAAGGAAGATGGGGAAAAAACTGGGAGAATAAAGGAAGGGAAGCTGGGAGAATTATGATGGAAGGCAAGAGGAAGGAAACCACAGAAGGACGTCTATGCATGGGGCTTATTTATTTGGCTATAACAGTTAACATCATGCTTATAAATGTTGAAAATGGTAAGATCGATACATTTAGGACGGTGACTTAGATCTGGAAAATGCAAACTTCTAACAGATTTGATTTAAAAACTGGTGTTAAAAACTGGTGTTATATTCATCCATTAGGTTATTCATTACCATTCAGCTGCTAAGCAACTGCATATACCAAAGTGCATGAAAATTAAAGATTATGCAGAAATTGAATAGTTTTAATTGTAGGAAGACAAATTATAGGACAGAGGAAAAAGACAGTGGTAACAAATATAATGATATCTATTTCTCCATGAGGTACAATGACTAAAACTCTTTAGTTCTTTGTTGCACTGCTTCAAGCTTTCTACTAAAGGTGAAGATTTTACAAAAGTGGGAAAATCTTGGGTTGTGAAGTTCATGTAGCTCCTGTGGGACTGGGTGAAGCCTCAATGGATGCCAGTCATACAAAATATCAGTAAGTGGTTAAGAGGAACCTTCTCACTTAATTTTTACAAGGAGGATTATTAGCTCAACAATCTGAACATCAAATATAAAGATAACAAAAAAAATCTCTGTGACAGTGGAAAAATTGGTTTTAAAAGCCAAATTCGAGACCAGCATGATGTCTAATTCTGCTAAGGCTAATCTACCTCTTGCAATGTAATACCAGCATCTGTATGAGTGCTGATTCAAATCTGGCCTGCTCCACTTCCAATCCAGCTCCCTGGATATGCCTGGGACATCAGTAGAGGACAGTTCAAGTTCTTAGGCCCTTTGCTCACAGGGGAGATATGGAAGAGTAAAGCAGTAGTTGAAATACTCTCTCTCACACACACCATAAAAAAAAATAACACAACTTTCAAGAAAAAGAAAGCAAAAACTAAACTGTGAGTGAGTGGAGAAAGGGTCGCATCCTACACCAGGCTGCTCCCTGACATCTCCAGGGCTCCCGGGGGCCGGCTGCATCCACTGTCACCCAGTTCAGGGGTGTCCTGCAGAGCTCTCTGGAGAACCTGCTTGAGGTTCTGTCTTTGCTTTTGCTGTCTAAAGGAGCCCACAAAGAAGTAAATGATGGGATTGGCAGAGCTATTAACACAGAACAGAAGAACTGTTGCCACATGATAATCAGGAATGTAATTGTTTGAAACACTTTTATTCCCCATGAAACAGATCCATGTAATACCACAGGGCAGACCACAGAGCACAAAGACCAGCACTGTGAGGAGAATGGTCACATACAGCCGAGTCATGGGCAACTTCTGAGAGCTACGGACCCTGAGCAGCAGAGCCAGGCTGGATCCACAGAGAATCAAAAATAAAAGCAGCAGCCAGACTGCAGCACCAAAGGTAAATATCTGACACCAAGTATTTTCACTATAATCAACATTAGAGAGACAACTGGTTATTTTCACTATGCCCAGGGGCAGGGACAGGGCCCAGATGAGGGCACACATGATAGTTGACAGGCTTTTGTGTCTGTGGCAGCGGTACCAGGTGGGCCAAAGGACAGATAGGCAGCGCTCAGCACTAATGGTGCTGAGGATGCTCAGGCTCACAATGTAGAGAAGGGCTTCTGCAGTAGTTAAGAGGTTGTTATCAGGAGTGTTGATGGACAAAGGATGGAAGACTCCGGTTAGAACCAGAAGTGAATCCACAACTTGGCAGCAGAGGAAGAGGAAGTCGGCCAGAGCCAGGTGGAGAATGTAGGTGTAGAACGCATTTTTGTGCATGCGGAAGCCAAGAAACCAGAGCACAGTCCCATTTCCTGGCAGTCCAAGCAGAGCAATGCCAAGTATCAGCCAGTACAGGATGAGGATCTCCTTTTGAAGTTTTGGTGAAGGAGTTGTGATGTTGTTGAGGCTGACTGGGATGCTTGAATTCATGCTCATAAATCCACCAGTGGTGTTCCTGGGAACACAAACAATAACTAGAGTCTGTTGCATGACTTTGATTCTCAATATCCCCTCACCTACCTGCAAGTACAGTGGCCTTGTCAATGGAAGTTCTTCAGAATTCATTTCTCACCAACAGTACACTTTCTCAGTTTCTTCCCTCCCTCCCACACATCTCCTAACCCCTTTCCCTGACCAATTCTCAGACCCTGTGCTGGGAGCATATGATTTTCCAGTCCAGTCATCTGAGGCCCAGACTTCCAGTGAGGGGTGGGGATGCTGGCTTGGAACTCTGCCTTCCCACTCGAGTCACAACTTCCTGACAGGTATGCTTGCCTGGGACCTTATCCCTTCACCCACTTACGATGAAAGCCCATCCAATGCTTCTGAAGCCCAGTCTGCCAGCATACCACACTAGCATGCTATCCCAAAGCTCTTCCTTTGCATCCCCTCACTACTCTTGGGACTAAGCACATGGGGAAATTCCCAGGCTCATACTGTCTTTTCCTGTGTCAGCCCCAAGTCCAAATATGGCCATGAAGGAGCCATCACCTAGGCTCCCAGCAAGCTTGCATCCACAGACCCCTATGAGCCTGCAAGCCTGGGAAGGCACAATGGCTGGCCAGGCTTCCTATAGAAATAAACGTGTTGAGTTGTCAGCTTTTTGTGTACAAGGAGCACTCTACTGCTTGGTGCTATGTGGTCTGTTCCATTTGGAAGATACAGTAGCTACTCAAGAAATCTGCAAACAAAGATGGAGGAATAAGGAGGCAATGTGTATTTCTAGTGCAAAATGCCACACAATATTGCTGGATGCAGCTACGACTAAGAAGCCTCTGCACTATAAAGGAGACCATCAACAAAGTAAAAAGGCAACCAACACATGAAAGAAAACATTTGCAAATTATGCAACAGATGAAGAATTAATATCCAGCATCTATAAAGAGCTCTTGAAACTTAAAAATAGAAAATACAATCTGTCAGGAGCCGTGTACTATAGCCACACTGAAGCCATTTTGAATATATGGGACAGTGGAAAACCTGCGGTTGGCTAGATGCTTGGGAAAGAGGTTATGAAACTAATCACATGCTTAGCTTCAATTGTTTCTAGCAACTGTTTCAGAATGTGATTTATGCTGTACCTGCTGACATCCTGTTACTGGTTACCTACACTATTGTTGATATGGTGGCTGCTCAAGAACAATCGGTCTTGAGACCATGGCTTGCATCCCAGTTTCTCCTTTCCTCCCGGAGCAATTACTGATTGTGCAATTACTGATTTCCTCCTTTCCTCCTTAGTTACTGAAGAATATAAAAGCCCTCAATTAAAATCAATAAACTGACGGCTTGATCAGACATCCTGTCTTACTGTCCATTCTTCATGTCTCTTGTCCAGTCATTCTCTCCTAGGTTGGTTGTGACCCCCATTGACTATCCTGCTGGACAGGACAACAATCCAGTTAAGAAATGGGCAAAGGACATGAACAAGACTTGCACAAAGAATAAAACTGAAACGGCACATAGACACATGAAGCAGTGTTGAAGCCCTGTAGCACTAGGGAAATGCAGATAAAAACCACATGACTTCACCAAAAAGACTATCATCAAAAGAGAAAAATGAAAAGACAATTAGAATAATAAGCACTGGGAAGCATGTGTATAAATATGCACTCCATAATACTTTGGTAAAAGAGAAAACTAGTTAAATCAATATGAAAGACAGAACGGAGATGCCTTAGAAGACTGAATCTACCACATGACCTAGTTATCCCACTTTTGGGTGGGATTCACCAACAAGAAATGAAATCAGCATGCTAAAGAGTGCTTGGTAACACCATGCTGATTGATCTCAATTTACAATAGCTAAGATATATAATGAACTCAGATGTCTATCAACTGATCACTGGCTAAATAACCTGTGGTATAGCAGCACAATCAGTAATTGCAAAAACATGGAAGCAACCAAAATGCCCATCAGCGGAAGACTGGATAAGAAAGCTATGGTTCATTTACTCCATGGAATACTACTCACCTATTAAAAAAAAAAAAAAAAAAAAAACAGGGCCCGGCGCAGTGGGCGCAAGTGGTTAAGGTGCTTGCCTTACATGTCCGGGATCCCATATAGACGCCGGTTCTGTCCTGGCAGTCCCGCTTCCAGCAACCTGCCTGTGGCCCGGGAAGGAGGTCGAGGACAGCCCAAAGCTTTGGGACCCTGCACCCGCATGGGAACCCGGAAGAGTCTCCTGGCTTTGGATCGGCATGGCATCGGCCATTGTGCTCACTTAGGGAGTGAATCACCGGACAGAAGATCTTCCTCTCTGTCTTTCCTCTCTGTATATCCGCCTTTCCAATAAAAAAATAATAAAAATAAATCTTTTAAAAAAATGCAGTTCTTTGTGGCCAAATGGGCCAAACTGGAAGCCACAATGCTAAGGGAAATGAGCCAATCCCAAATGGTTAGATACCACATGTTTGCCTTAATTTAAGATGATATGATGTCAATATGAAAAACAGTATATGTAAAATGTAATATTATCTCATCCTCAAATAGCCTATCTTACATGCAATAAAATATTGTGAAGTAACCAATGAAATAACAATCAATGTAAGTCAGTCTGCTTAGGATCTACATCAAAGAACTGTAAAACCTAATGTTCTTTTAATACCCTATGCTATCCCATAGTGGGGAGGGAGACCAGAGAAATCTCCCACCTCCCTAAAATGTGTGAGGAAGATGTGAAATATAACCTACTAGGATCATAATTGGTAACTCATAGACAACAGACTCGAATCAACATTAGACAATAGTCAGACAACAAAGACATATAAGGGGAATTAAGAGCGATCCTGACAACCTCTTAACAGGAGGTCATATGCACAGAGAAGGGGGGACCCCAGAGTGGAGCAGGGGAACAAGAGGAGGCTTGTATCCCAACCCTGAAGACTCACGGATTCTCAGTAAGGACCACCAGTACGAGCACCAAGGACAACATCCCAACTGCCAAGGAGACTACAGGGAGTTGTAGTGCCTTCAGAGGCCAAGAACTCTGAGATCATCCACTCCTGCTTGGATCCACCACATGGGATGAAAGAAGTCCAAATCCTTTCTTGCAGGATCCAAGGGCGTCAAAGCAACAGCCAGAGCCCTGAGCAGTCCACAGAAACAGAAGAACTATAAACTTCTTTCGTGAGTAGGGAGGGGAGCTTTCTCTGGTCCTCGCTTGGTTCCAACCTTGGGTCCCCACCCCCTCTTGTAATGACCATCAGGATCGCTCCAGAAACCCCTCAAAACAAACAAACAAACAAACAAACAAACTATAGAATAGTTAGAGAACAACAAGGAAAGCATGGAATCAGACAGGAAACAGTCAGCGTGCATTCACTTATACCTTACTAGGTGGGACACAAAGATTGGTTACTCCTCACTAGGGTATTGAGGATTTCTCTGCACACCTCCCCCTAAAGCTGTTCACCTAAACTGTAGACATATGTCTTGTTAGAGTTATAAGCCAGTCTAGACTACCCAGAAAAAAAAAAGTCAAGTTCAACAAAATTATGCTTCAACACTCTATAATGCTAAATACTATAATGAAAATAGACACAAGACAGCTGAATAGTAATCTATAGCCATTTTAAGGTGTATGGAACCCGGTTGTGAATAAACTAAATTTGAAATGTCAACGAAGGAGTCACAGGATGTGGTAAAGAACTTGCATTTTTTTAACATGTTGGTTACTCAATACTATGTCAATTAATTTCATAACGTTATAAATTGTTGTTGAAGTTATGTCGGGGCTTTTAATTGATATGGATGATACCCTGCCGGATCTACCTTCAGACCAGAGATGGTCTCCCCAATAAGCCGTTGAATTTGTCTGGACAAAAATATGCTGGACTCTATGCTTGGTATATGTATGCAATGAAAGAATCTCATGTGAACTTGAACTGTGGTAATGCAACAAGGTGGAGGAATCCACCGGGGGGGGGGGAGGGTTTGGGGAAGGGTGGGGGAATCCCACTACCTACAAAACTGTGTCACATAATGCAATATAATTAATAAAAAAAGAAAAATAAATAAATAAATACAGTAGGAAATACTACTAAGCCTTAAATAAAGAATGAAATACAGTCTTTCAGAGCAGGAGGGATCCAATGGACCATTACTACTGGTAAAATAAACTAGTGTCCCAAAAATGCTTGTAATTTTTCTGGAGAGTTAGAGTTATTTAGCAGTGATAGGGACATCCTTCTATGTAACGATTGTTTTAGCAGTTTTTATACTTCCTAAAATGATTGTCTTCCTTTCACTTGTTCAGTATAATGGGTAGTGGTGAACTATGTCTGATTACAGAATGGAGTGAAATTATATCTTTGCAAAGGAAAAGTAGGAAGAATTTAAGAAAGGAGAGTAGATACAAATTGAAATGTGGTCACCTTAGAATTGTACCTGTAACATACACAAAAATTATTCACTTCATGAAAAATATATAAATCATCAATAAAAAATTGAAGAAGACAATGAACAGAAGGATCTCATCTGCTATTATTGCACAAGCATGTAAAGTGAGAATGAGTATTTTGTTTAATCTTTTAGAATTTGGAACTGTACCATAAAATGGTTGATTTAATCCTAATTTTGGAGAATGTGCCTATGCACTCAGCAAAGCTGCCCAGGTGTTTACATTTTGAACAGATATGCAACCCAACTTACATGAGTGATTTAGAAATTAAACTGAAGCACGCAAATCAAAATGTCAATGGAAATAAAATCTAGGGAAAGCAAACTCCAGGAACAAAGGATCAGGGAAGTCAATTAAACTGGGGGCAGAAAAGAAGCAGGCAATTAGAATCTACCTAGAAACAGAAAGCACTCCCCAGACACTTTGCCTCTCTCACAAAGGCAGCTGTGACTGTGAGATCCAGAAGACTCAACAGCAGAGGAGGCACCTGCTGGAAAGGGGATGCATCTCCTCAGCAGGCTCAGAGCAGCA